TTAATTACTTTGGCTTGTTTTACCGTGAAACTGACCTTTTTTTACAAAAAGGCTATTTGAAAAGTGGTTAGCAAACTTAATAAGAGCTGAGCACATGATTCCATTTTTGAAAATGTTTTTTTTTTTTAATGAACCAAATATGGACTTTATTACAAAAACAAATCAAAGTCTCAAAATGGCAGACCTGTAAAACACTTTGTTCTATAGAATATCCAGTCCATTTTCTCCACTCCATCAGGTTCTCAAAAAGCTAATGTACAAAAATGTAAATGATGCTACAAGACTTAAATCTATTTTAGTTAAATACAACCTTGAATTAGCTTCTCAATTTTATAAATTTTGTGTAGTCAGTTATTTGAAATTTCCATAATTCCTAAAATTAATTACTTTGTTGCTTTTGCTTTAAAAAATGTAGTCAGTTTGAAAGATGTTCTTATTTGAGCTAAAATCCTGACTATCCAAGAGTATGTAAAGCATGAAACAATATGAAGGTTTTTTATGTTGGGAAAAAATGTTAATCTACTTTAAACCATCCTCAAAATAACAACTGTGAGTTAAAAATTATTAGCACAAAACCTGGGATCTAAAACACAAGCGTCCAAAACCCATGCCTCCAATGACTTGGCAGAAAGCATTAAGTACTTGAAGAGAGTTCTTTTCAGTATGTCTGAAAACATGTTTCTTATTCCTCTTTATTTTTTTTTTCAGAGTTTTATTGTCATTACACTGTCACAAGTACAGTGCAATGACATGAGCTCTCTGCATTTAAACCATGCAGCAGTGGGCTGCCATTGCGCTCCCATAGCAGTGTGGGGTTAAGGGTATCAGGGAGCAAGAGTGGCAGCCTGTGGGAGTGGGGCTTGAACTTAGAACCTCAGGATTCCAAGAGCAATGCCCTAACCACTAGGCTGCCACTCCCCAAAACAGCCATTAGCGTAAAGGCTCTTGCCCAAGGACCCACACTGGCAGCTAATTCCCCCCAACAGGGATACAAACCTAGGCTTCCTGTTTGCAGGACGTGTGACTGACCACTTGAGCTTGCCAAGTGGTATTTATTTAATTGATGATAATCAAATTCTTCCTAAATGGATCTTTACTAAATATTTCTGAAAGTTAGTATAGTTGAAGATGTTCTTTTTCCAGGTAAATCGCCAAAATAAGTGGTCCTCCTAATTGTCAATCATTTTGGTGATATGTTTATATAAGGCCGTCCTATGTGTTCGACCCCATTTCCACTTACCTGTGGTCAGTCTGACATCGTGGAAAAATTGCCAAACTTCTTTTGGAAAGTAAGCTTGTATGGGCAATGCAAACAGCTTCTTTTAAAAAGAGTAATGGGCTCGTGCATGCTTTCGCACGTGTTTAATAGGTGTTCCCTCTCAGGAGCAGGTAAAGAGTTGTTTATGGGCAGGTCTTTTCAAAAATTCACGTAAATCCTTAGAAAAAAATATGTAAAAAAATTGCAATGATTTTAAGGGCTTTTAGAAAAAAATGCTGTTTTCAAATTAGAGTAGGTAAAGCAGAAACCATTCTGTCATCTTTACAAAAACTGTTTACCTTCACACACCAGATATTAATAAAAAATGTGATTTAATTTGAAGAGTACCTTAAAAAGCTCTAACACTTTGTAAAACTCAGTGGTGGATATCCATAATTTATTATCTCAGCCACAGTTTTGTTGTCAGTGTGTATTTGTGAGTAAAACATATTAAACAGAAACACGTGTCCAGACTGCATCTTTAAAATCACAGCTATGCAGAAACAAACAAAAAGGCTGCAAATTACCCTTATGTGCTTCTTTTTGTAAATTTAGCGTCAGTTTGATAAAGAAGGTAAAAAAAAAATGCAAAGACCCTTTAGTCAATAATCATAACTTAGACTAGAATGTCTGAGTGGTTTATTAGAATAAGAAAATTAACACAGAGCAAAGTCTCCATGCGGAGTGACAGGCAGAACTCAGGACATTGTGGCGGATGGCAAACAACTGTTGGAGTCAGTCAGTTTTTCATGTGTTTGTGTGTGTGCAGTGCAGCTGTTTGAGGGTGCATGCATGTGTTGGAGTGGTTGCTGTGTGACATAAGACACATTTGTTTTCAGACACAAGAGCACACACCTGCATGTACGGTACAAATTCACACATCGCTACTTCAGTACACACACACACACACACACACACCCACACAGAGGCTGTGTTCTCATGCAGCTACTGCACTGAAATTACATGTAAGCATTTAGGTTATGTACACATAGCGGGGACATGTGTTGCCATCTGATAACAGCCACACTCAAGCCCCCACTGCCTTTAACTCACCCGTTTGGGCTGACGAGAAGTGGGGAGGATCAGCCTCTGAAGAAGGCTGCAGGGTGACGGGGATCCTTCACATTCACAGGAGACCTCACATTAGTCTATATAAGTTAATTAACTTCCTCTGTTCTGGTAATTCTGCTTTCAAACTGGACACAACACTTCAGTGCTCAAAGTACTGCTTCATAGTAATAATAATAACAAGAGTGATAGTCATCAGGTTCAGCTTCTTTGTAATAATTGAAAAAAAAAAATGGCACGCCAAAGAATTGCAAATGAAACCATACACATCCCATAGGAGTTTTTAACCAAATATCCACCACAGAAAAAAACAAGAGTTAAAAAAAAAAAAAGCAAAGAAAACTTTATGCATTTACAAGTTTACAAAAAATGCAAATTCACTGGAATCTTGCTTTTGTGCTCATCCCTCTCACACATTGGCTTGGACAGGAGCCGCTGGGGGAACACATCTCCCTGCTTTTAGTCCCTGTCTCTCAACTATTTAAAGAGCATTACGAAACATACAGTACAGAGGGGGCAGTTATCAGCACTGCAGGGTTACACGTTTGAAAAAAACAAACAAAAAAACAACAACCCCAACACACAGATGATGCGGTGTGTTCGGCAAAACCAGACACACAACCTGATAAACGACAACACAGAGAGCGTAACTACTTTTGCAGGGCAAAAGCATCTACGCCTGCTGGGAGTTTTTCACATTTTGCCACATTTAAAAAACAAACCTGGAATGTTGTGTATTAGACAAACACAGTGGTGCATAGCTATGAAAAGAAAGGAACATGATAGCAGTTTCAAAAAGAAAATCTAAAAAGAACAATTTGAATGAACAATCAATCCCCTGGTACCATTTACTTCTAATACCCTGTATGAATTCTAATAGCCCTCAGAAATCACCTGGAGTAAATGGGGTAATTTAATCATAGTAAAAATACAGCTGAGCTGTTAAGACCACAGAGATTTGGTTGAGAGCATCAGGAACAAAGGCTTTCAGGAGAGATTTGGTCAATCCAAATCTGGCTCAAAAGCCTTGGTTCATTTAAAAAAAGCCATAGGAAGTCTCATTTTCAGATTGACTATAACCCAGTGGGATACAAGGGTGCTGCTCACATTTAATAATTTCTGTTTCTGGAGAAAAATTAACAGAACAGTTAACCTGGACTTACCCTCTACATGGTAAAGCACAGTAGTGACAGCATTGGGCTGTGGAGATCATTTTGGTAAGTAAGGACAGGGAACCTTATTAAAGTAAAAGTGGAGTTGAATTTAAGGACAAATTTCAAAGGATGGAAGGAAAGCATGAGAATGTGATGGAGGGTATGAGACCAAGTCATAACACACAGCCACCTCTGAAGGGATGACGCTTTGATCAAAACATATTCACATGCTGAAACGACAGGTTTAAATCTAATTGAGAAGTAGCAGTAAAACTTGGAAATTACCGGTTATGAAAACTCTCCTGCCAGTCTCAGAAAGTTTAGGTTATTTCCAAGAAAGGATGGGCAAAGCAATATTTGTTTTCTTTATTCACAGATCAGACAGCAAGAGGTGCTTCAACAAAGCACAGACTGAGGGACAGTGACTATAAATGCTCATCCTTCATTTTTTTTTTTTTTTTTTAACGATATTCAAGATTAACCTTCTATTTGCAGTTATGCACAACTTTATTATGGTCTGAAGTTTTTTATTCCATCATAGCAAAACCTCTATAGGGTATGTTAACGTATGCAAAGCACCGTGGATGTGCACACGTAGAACAAAAAAAAAAACCCTCTTTAAACTAAATAAGTGACAGAAAAGAAAAGCAATTTCCCGCATGAGAAGGTTAAGAAATGTTTGAAAGAAAAAGTTTGGCATGAAGGATTTGAGGTGAATGAAAGAGGGTGAGAGGATGGTGGTGGAGGGGGGTTCTCTGATTTCTGTTTCTGACTCATTAAATTAACCTACAGACCTTTAACAGGGAAAAACACAATGAGAACCCTGGTTTTTACTAAAAGAAGATAATACAACTGTGTTCCCAGTTGAAGGGGCTTTAAAAAAACAAAGAGCAGCTGTTGGAAGATGAGGGAAGGGAATTAGGTGAAGTATGGAGAGAAAAGGGAGGATGAAGGCTTTAATAAACAGACTTCCCTCTATGAGATTATACCTAAATTCTTTAGCTGACTTGTAATGTTGAACTTAAGTAATCAAATTGTGCTGTCAGTAAGATAACATCATGACGTACACTACCTTTATTTGAACCGGCCCCTGTCGAACTCCAGCTACGTCTCAGATTTAATTCAATTGCTTTCCCCTATTTGTCAAATGCGGTACTTGTGTTTCATGTGTGTCTGTGTATGGGGCTGGTGGCCTATAAGGAGAACAAAAGCACTGTTTGAACGAATAGTCCCTCATGGACAACGTGTCCGCAGCAATCTTCTCAGGGGGCACATCAGGCCATTAGAGGGCCGGGCATGTACTTTGCCTAATCAAGCATGTTTAGTAAAACACCAGGAGAGATGTGGAGCGAGGACTCGGATGGGTGGACACGCCACGCAGAGATAAAGAGGCCACATTTACAAACACGCGCATATAAAGAACAAGAAATGGGAACACGGATCGAGATGAGAGGCCGAGCTCACAGAGTGAGGCAATCCTCAACACTAATGACCCATTTCAGGGTTAAATGTGTAATCTCTTTAACTGCATTGCCTTGTATATGACCACTGGTGCTTGCTATATATTTATCGAGGCTATGTTTAACTGAGTTTAATTAAACACTTAACTCTTGTTCAGTCTGTCTAATTTCCTTTGGAGAAATTGTAGATCAAATCCTATATTTCAACAAATTTGTATTACAAAGATCTACCTCTACTGTCTTGCCAGTTTCTATTTTATAAGCAGCTTTAAATTTGGTTTCAAACCTGAAAGAAGCTGGACTTTCCATTTTGCATATTATATCATAGCACAAGTTTTGCTTTGGCAGTATTTTTCCTGCAGAAAAAGTTGCACAATTTCTATTCAATCTCCAATCCTGCTGGTCTTTTGCAGCAAACATTTTTTCTATGAACATTTTGAAACCTCTCACTGCAAGCCTACACTGTGGCACAATATTTTGCCTTTTGACATTTTCAATGAGCAAATTTCTTGCTTGGAGGGTTGCTGTTTGAAAAAAGTTTAATGGCTTTTACCTGTGTTTCCAGTTCTCCTGACTGTCTGAACATTAATCTACTAAATGTAATGACAAGGCAGACAATATCCATCAGGGCACAATCACCTTTATCAGTGACAAAATGTGAAAAACTCCAGGGATGTGAATACTCTTGCAATGCAGTGTACATTAGCAAGTGTCCACACAAAGCCATGACACAGTTAGCATCTCTAAGAATAAGGCGGACCAAGATGAAATTATAGGAAGGGTGGGGCGAGAGAGAAACTGATCACAGCTGTTTCTTGCACTTAATATGAGCAACACAATGATGTAAACAAGCCCTCAGAGACTCCCTCATACACAAACCGACAGATGCAAACAGAGGTAAATACCACCTTTTACTGAACACTGACCCAGATGGATTAAAGCTAAGCATATCTACATTTGAATCAAGAACAGATGAAAGAGGACAAAAAACATAAAACATGAAAAGACCAGACAACAGAGTGAAAGAGAAACTCCACACCCAAGTGAATGCATGGCCATCTGTTTTCCTTATCCAGCTTTTGTTGGGATACACACCAAGAAGAAAGAAAAGGAACGAAGCCTCATGGGCTGACCATTGTGATGCTTAGCTGTGTCCTGACACTGACCCATACCGCAGCTCTGGGCCTTAGACCCTCCCTACAATGCCCAACAAGTGATTCACCTCAACTGGTGATCCACAGGAAAGGCTTGAACCTGACTGGATGATGCTGAACTCTCCTCATTGCTATTCTGCTACACTGTGGTGAGTCAGATCCCTAACTCTTAATTGTTATTTGTGGCCACAGTTTCTTCCTGCGCCTGGGGCACAAAGAGGCTCAGTGTCGGGCAGAGGAGAGTGAATGGAGCTCCCAAGCGGCCGAGCCTCTCTACCTCAGTCAGATCACCAGACAGCAGCAGCTCACATTCCCCTTTTTCAAATGCACTACGGAGCCCAGTGGGGCCTTATTTTGGGTTGGGCGGACTGGTGCCTGTTGATAGGCAGAAACTGTTTGTCTTCATTGTAAAGACTGATTTTATAAAAATACTTAAATTTTCTTTTTAATGTCATTGTCATTATATAGCTAATTATTGCTTTCTCTTCCTCCATCATGGCTCTGTACAGCCCTAACTAGCCACTGATCAGCCAGTAAGGCTTCTGATTGGTACACACAATTAAAATTACACACAATAAAACCATCTCTTTATAAACAATATTATCATCGATTTCATTATATAGCCATACTTCACAGTTAAGACAGGACGCTGGTTGGGGTTGTTGCCAAACACACCCATATATGATGCAAGATTTCTGTCTTTTTTCAGTCATTGCCCTCTGGCAGAAGTACAACAGTGTTGTCTCATCTTATATCCAAAGTAAAGCACATTGTTGTCTGCTGGATGCCACTGGCACAAGAAAACCAACAAGAGACGAAAACATGTCACCACAAGACCATCCTTGGTGACTTGTCAATGAACAAAATGGTCCAGGGGGGTCTTTGACATTTGCCGCTGTGAGGAACATTGTCTTTTTTTAAGAATAAAACTTTCAATTATCCTTTACAGAAGGTTCCTCTTTCAGCTTGGCCCCTCTCTCTACCTTCCTATTAGACTCATATCAGAGCTATGAACTGTGGTTGGCATACCACAGATTATGAACAGAGAAATCTCTATGATTTGAGAATTTTCTCAGCCTTTACCCTTTTTTTTCTCTGTCTCTCTCTATAGTTTGCTGAATGATGTCAGAACATTAAATGACAGTGAGAGAGGAGAGAAAGGATAAGGTAGGATCAGGACGGTGAGTCAAAGGGGTTGAAATTTTCCAGTTATTTGTTGGCAGGAATGGGATTTTCAGAGAGCTTGGTATCAATGTTCACCCGGCATCAACTCATTGGCCACTAGGGGTGTGCTCACTGATGTTCTTCCCAAGAAGGTGGCTGAATTCAGCCAGATCTCCAAGACCTCGAGGCCCATGCACTTCTGGCCTGATGAGACCCTGGCGCTGAGCGTAATAGGGAACGCCATTGTTGCTGTTGTAGTTGAGGGCCTCATGACTCCAACGAGGCTCTCCGTAGTCCACATGTGGGGTGGGAGCGGAGACCACCCTACGGCGATCAGGTGAATCCTGTGGTGTGGCAGGATAGATATATTCCCCCGCTGAGTTCCTCAGGCTACCAGTGGGACGACTGCCTCCGTGCTCTCCTCTTTGAGTGGCAAGAATAAGGTAACGCTGGCGATCTGAGTGTGGGGGAAGCACCACTTCACCGGGGTCCTCTATCCGTACCAAACCTCCTCCTCCTCCTCCTCCATGCAGAAACTTGGAACTCAAGTAAATGACTGCATTGTTGGGACAAGGGTTTCCAACAGAGGTGAGGAAGGTCTGGCTCTGGTCCCAGTCAGTGTCTGGGAGACGCATGACTCTTTTTTGCTGCAGCGGCGTCTGCTCAGGAGTTGGCAGTAAACCTGGGTCCATCTCTCCTTTAGGCCAACCATTGGGCATAACAAACAAGTTATCTGGCTGCGAGCGCCGTCTCTCGCCTCCACTTGTTCTGGTGACACTCATCACTGACCCACTGCGACCCGGTCCCAGCATGCTCTGCTCTTTGTCGTTCTTGCGCCGGGCGCCGTTGGCACCAGAACCACGGGAGTTCCTATGGCGGTGGCTCATGATCCAGCAGACAGTAAGACCAGAGAGAATGGCTCCTGTGGAGAAGGCTGAAACAGCCGACACCACCAGCAGGTTTACAGACACTAGGCCGTCTGGCTCCTCGATGAAACTCTCCTGAAACAGCATGCCTAAAGACAAAGAAACACAGACAGAGGAATCATCAGTCAACTGGTGGAACCATCTTAATGGTGTAAGTATTTCCTGCATTTAACTTGTGGGAGCTAATGAATAGCCAAATAAAACAACTTATTTTCTCCCTTCCCTCTGTGGGTGGGAATGAGCATATGTTTTTCAACCAAGGTAGCTCTTGTTAATTGCCTTCATCACATAAAGTGGATAGTGATTTTAATGGCTATAATAACTGTCTTCCTGATTGAGAATGGCTCTCAACCGTCACATGTTTGGCAACATTAGTTTTAGGGGAGAAAAGGCAAGTCTGCAAGTAATGGTGAGTTAAAAATCAAATGTCTACATACAATAAAATTGACCCTGTTTACAGTATACAACAGAAGTGAGGTCAACCGTTTGGGATTTCATCTACAATAATTCAGGTACACAAAATTACATTGTGTCTAACAGCATTACATCTAAATTGAAAAAAAATGAATAATTACTTTCATTAAGAAAAGAAAATAAAAAAAAGCCATGGAGCAAAAGATACACACCCTTTTGTTTTACATACACAAAAATAATTAATTATTTGTATATGTACATTTTCAAAGTGAACAAGATACATAGTACCTTTATAAAATGCCTAGATAAATGCAGCCCTATGTATTGTTTGAAAAGCTATATATTGTTTCATGCATATCATTTTACTGGCTTCACAAATGACTATAGTTGTAATCAGGAGGTAAAGAATACCCCACCAAACTAATGATCAGAAATCTTGAGGTGTGTTTTTCGCCGATATAATGAAACACAACATGGATCATGTATTTCTTTCCATGGCGTTAGCAAAATTTAATCAGCAAATCTATGATTAATTATATGAGTATCAATTAAATATACAGATTTTTTTAAGAAGTGGATATAATTATTTCCTGATATGATAAATATTTCATTGTACTGCATTGAAGCACATCACTAATTACAATAAACTGTCACACACCCATCAAAGTCAAGAAAACCATAGATGTCTGATTAGCTGCCTCTCACTGAGCAAGATGAGACAACATCTTGGTTTTCTTTTACTTAAAAAAACTAGAAAACTATTAAATAATGTTCTAAACATGTTTCCGTTTATTTACAGCATATTGGGTAGGCTGCATCTCCAGCCTCTAAATCTGTAGTTTGCTCTCAGAATCTTTTGAGAGCATGCGATCAGTGTTAGTCAGTAGGCGGGGCTAACATTCATTGTGCTGGAGTCACTGGCAGCTTCCAACATTCTAGACCACAGCAAGCTCTCTCATAAGCTTATTAGATATATTTCAGACCTAACTAGGGGTATAGAGGCTGGAGTTGCTCACTCAATGCACTGCAAGTAAATTTTAACATGTTGTTGAAGTTATTTCAGAAATTATCAGCAATAATATTGCCTTTAGAATAAACAAAACATCAAGAAATAACTTGTTACATCTTTGTCAGTGAGAAGCAGCCAATCAGATGTCAGGTTTTCTATGCAAACAGCTCAAGACCCGCCTCCTTTACTTTAATGAATGTGTAACATTAAAAAAAAGCCATGGCATGCTTCAGTGAAAGTATAAAGTAATCTATTACATCATGAAATAATCGTATTTACTTATGATTAAAAAATATTAATCACTATATAGATAATTAATTCTGTATCAATTTCCATCCATCCATCCATCCATCCATCCATCCATCCATCCATCCATCCATCCATCCATCCATCCATCCATCCATTTTTGGACTGTTGGAGGAAGCTGGAGTACCAGGAGAGAACCCATGCATGCATTGGGAGAAAATGGAAACACCCCAGGAATCAAACCCAGGACCTTCTTGCTCCAATGCAACCGTGCTAACTGTACAAACCTTGTAACCCTGTATTTATTTTCTGTTTTATTAAATCAATGATACATAAAAAATGATTCCATAAGTTACCTATTTATTGTATTGTGGCACTTGTCATTTTCTATATCAGTGTTTCCCAAATGGGGGTTACGCGTACCCCTAGTGTTCTGCGTGAGCATTGCAAGGGGTACATGAAAATATGTTATTTCTTAGGTTGTAAAGTAAAATGGGACTCTGATCTGTTTTGCTTTGTGGGGACCCAACTGAAAAAAGAAACAAGCTTTTATCAAAAAAAAGTTAGTTTTTCTCATATGTTTGAATTCACCTTCAGCTGTGACACACATCCAAACCAAGCAGAGGAACAGACTGGCTCTAGAGAACAGTCTGGGATCAGCTGTTTTTCACATTGAGCTATCGGAGCTCAACAAAGCAGCTCAGGTGTCTTGATGAAAACAAAGTTAAACTAAATAAGTTTTTTTTTTCTTTAGATTTTACGGCACTAGGGGCTCGTTTTTCCGACAGTAGGCTGACAGGAAAGGGGGTATGAGAGAGAGGGAGAGACATGCGGGAAAGGACCACAGGCTGGATTCGAAGCCGGTCGCCCGTGTCGAGGACTAAGGCCTCCGTACATGGTTCATGTGCACTAACCACTGCCCCACCTACACACCAAACAAAATAAGTTTAATTGAATAATTAATTGAAAAATGCAGATCAAGAGAGTTACTCAGAGGAGCTCCAGTTTTATAAATACAGGTGTATTATATGATTTTATTTTGCATTTATTTCAATTTCTTACTAATTTCCAGGCAACATATCTATATTGTTTTTTTTTTATTATTTGAGATGGAAAGCATAAAATTATAAAGATCGAATTCTCAAATTAAAAGATTAAGTAAAATAGTCTTTATTTCAGGTATTGTACATTTCATTTTTGGACATTCATCAATACTTTTGACTGAAAAGGGTACACTGCTGTGTATGCATGAGCTAAAGGAATTTTTTTTATCAAAGTTCAGAGCATTTATAATGTGATGATGGGCAGTGCAAATTACTTTGTAAAATTATAATTTCTTTCATATCAATCATAAAAGTACAAAAATATTGTAAATCCAAAAGTATTATCTTTGAAGATAGATGGCATTCATCCTGCTGAGGAAATATAACTATTACAGTAATATAAATGGTAATGAAACAAGGGACATGTGGTTACAGGAATACTGTAGCATTAAGATCAAATGCTGCTTTCACAAGTACTACAATTACTGTGAGCAGTTTAAATTATTTCAACCTCTTAGAAGATTCCACTAGTTCACTGTAGAACATTTTTATATAGTCAATTATGTTGGAACTATTTTGTCTAATGTCGAATCTGTACAATTTTGGTTTGTTTTAGCTTAAGCTTTTTTTTTTTTTTTTACAAAATATACTGAAATATAAATTAACTGCACTTCTGTAAGCCAAGAAATATGTAAAGTTATATGTAAATATGTAAAGTTTTTTTTTAGATAAAGGACAACAGATCTCCATATGAAAGAATGTTTTATCTTTATATAAGTGTATTTAATGAACTCTATCTATGAGAAAATGCTTATGAATTATTGAAGACATGCATACAGTGAAACTACAGGACGGGCGGCCATGGATCAATTAGAAAAATGCCAGAGGAAGAAAAAAAATGTTTTTTTGGCTCAACAAGCTCCTGGGACCAACAGTGGCGAATACAATGAGGCTGTGCCAAGGGAAGCAGATTGGAGAAAAGCAAATGAGGAAAAGAAGAGTGAGTTAGAAAGAAAGAAGGATAGATAAACAGAGAGAGAGAGAGACAAAGAGTTGCCTAAAGCAAACTTAAGCATTTGGGGCCCTAGACAAACAGTAGTAATAGTTGCTAAATTACAGCAGCAATAGCAGCAGAGGCAAAGTGTCTCCTCAAGGACAGGAAAATAAATCCTTTTTCATAGAAAATTAATGGCTGTCATTAATAGGAATTGGAATCCACTTACTCACTAACACACTATGCAAAAGCGAGGCCAGAGCGTATGAGAAGGAATTAAAATCTGTGAGAAAATGATACTTTTCTAAATAAACAAACATTATTTATTTTTTTTATTTGATGAATATATTTTTAATGGGGACATGGGGAGTTGTTTGTGTAGAAGACCGTGCAGTGAGAGTCGGCCTGGTGGGTAATTAATGTGGCCTGTGGCTTTGTAATGTAAAGTGTTACTCTAGACTCATCGACATTAAGCTGAGGAATGGTAGATTAAACCCTATGAAAAACCCTTAAACCGCTGTGCCTCACCAGAGGTGATGTTATACATTTTAAACCGTTAATATGCACAAGAAGGAAGCTCGTAAATTAATGGTGATACTATATTTATGGGACCATATTTGAGAGTGAACAAGGGAAACTGCAATGACTAAACCAGCAGGTGTAACAACAGAGTGAAGAAAAAGCAATCTACAAAATCTACAGAAGCAGATTCAAGTAATGTAAATATTATCCTTTATGTAATTTAGTGCAATTACCGTAGAAGCTCAACGATATACAGAAATACTGCTTAGGATTCAAACCACAGCTGCATCCTGTGGCCTCAGAGCCGCTTGAACATCTCTAATGACAACAGCCACATATAAAACAAAAAAAAAAAGTAAAAACCAACTGTTTGAAATGTAAAAGAAACATCAAAAGCATGATAGATTTCTTAGTATATTTAAAAAACTGTTAAAACAACACAAGTCAATAAAAAAGTTAAACATTTTTTTGCTTAAACAATAAGCTAAAAATCTAAGATTGAGAATCATTGTTTCTGCCTGTAAAAAATACAATCTTATTCTTGATTTTTTTTGTGTCAAAACATGGTGCAGACAACACAATATATTCTTTCAGGGTTCCTTGTGTAATTTACAACCATAGAAAAAAAAAAACAAAAGATATGTGATGCAGAGTTTACCCAAACATAAAAAAGCCGGATGCAGAGTGAAAAACTCTCAGTTATTTATTAACTGTCAAATATCTCCACTGATCTGTAGAGCCAATGTCAACTTTAAAACATTTATGGGATCTTAACTGGTTGTTCAGGTTCAATCAAAAAATAAATTTCTAGTCTAAAGTGTACACATAGTATAGTAGTTATGCATATGAATGTGGATATTT